TCACAACAGCTTTCACTCTCTAACCATAAGGCTGATCGTTTTTTTTAAGTTGGCTAATATTTGAATTTAAATATTGTTATTTAAATATAGTACAGGATTGTATCAATTGAAAATCTTGATCTAATATATTCTTTTAACTGAAAACCCTGCCAAGACAAAGATAAAGACAATGTTACTGCATCTAATTCTTGACAATCCTCTGTTTCATCTCAGTACTATGCTACTGTATCTGAATCTTAATCTGAATCCAACAGACTCCTGATTACTGTAACTGATTGTCTACTCTCAATATCTAACTCCTTATTGCTGTCCGTTACCGGTCGGTGAGTCCTTGAGGTTGATGATCAAGACACGAAAAGGTCGTAAATATTGACACAAATCGACTTTTTCCTTCTTATGGCCGATGTTTTGGGTTGTATTTGGGTTGATCTGATGAGTGGAGTGGGAGACGGGAGAGCTAACAATGACAGCTAACAATGACACATCAAAATCGGAGTGATGATGGCCGATGGCCTTTCAGAGGGACAAAGAGAGATGCAACGAAATGACCACTGTATCTCTTTCAACTTTCTCTTTCAATTCTTTTCATTTTCCTTTCATGACTGATCACTCTTTGTCTCTCGATGACTTGGGTGAGATAAAAGACTTCAAATGTTCGCCGCTTCGTGAATTCGCACCTCATTTTCACTTCGATGAGGATTAAAGAGACAAAGACCAATTTTAGACAGGTTTTTCAAAAGAAAATTGAAACAGAATTTGTTTTTCAATTGTTTTTTTGCGATTTTTAATTTTTTAGTGGATGATTAACGTCAAGAAAAAGTAATTTGAACATGCTAGGAAAATCTGAATAGATTGGACTGTACTTTGCCGACAAACACTCGCTTTCTAGCACACTCGATCTCGAATCTTTCAATGGCAAATCAATGTTAAACAAAGCCAATTGAGTGCGCCAGAAGATGGGTGATTGTAAAGGCAAAAAGTGCTCTAAAAACGATGTCAACAACAAACAATTTCTCTCTTACTATAAGATTTTAATCTTAAGAAACATCAAAAAGAATCTTATATTCAAAATTCTATAATTACTAAGCCTTTCTTTAGCTAAGCCTTTCTTTATTAAAGATCCGATTCAATCAAAAAAATTTCCCTTTTTGACCTTTCTTCATTGTGCAACACAAGGGAAATCTCAAATTTCCAAAAAAAACCGCTTTGACAAAAAGTGTCACATTGTAGAGAACATAATTAGAGATCTTTCTTTTCATTAAAAAAGAGTCAATCCTCAAGTTACATAACATCGCTGAGATAAGGAGATCAAAAAGGATCGAGAGAGAGAGAGAGAGAGAGATCAGAGAGATCAATCAAGGGCGGACACCGCCACCATCTTCTCAATTTACCGATCGGTGCGATTTATGGCCAATTTTTTTAGGCATGTATGCTTGGATTTACTGTTGGGATTTACGAGGTAGGGGGGATCTGGGGAAAAGAGAAAAACAGACGCTCATCTGGAAAAAACAAAACCGGCGGTGTGTCTTTGCTTTATTTTAAGGGGGCTCGTAAAGAAGATAATTGCTCACACGTTTTTTTCTAGAAAAATAGGCTTAGCTTGTTTCTAGAATTCTAAAGAACTCAATATGTTTGACTATAAAATAAACAAGTTTGCTTGACTATAAACTAGTCATGAGATGAAAGCTGATGTCAGTTCAGCTTGTCAGCTAGACTAGCCAAGCCAAGCCAAGCCAAGCCAAGCCAAGCCAAGCCAAGCCAAGCCAAGCCAAGCCAAGCTAAAGCCAAGCTAAAGCCAAGCTAAAGCCAAGCCAAAGCTAAGGGCTTTGAAAAGCTTGACTTTGAAGACTCCTAGTCTAGCAGCAGTGTTTTTGAAAACCTTCGTCTGATTGGAGTGCATTCAAATGAGGATTACGTTAAACAAGGCGCATCGTTAAGCTCCGAGTTTTGATTGTGGAAAGGCTAAGCGCGGATAAATGAGTGGGTGGAGGGGTGTGACGCAACGTGTGTGCCCCACAAATGGCCCTAATCACTCTCTCATCCCATAGACAATCCGCGAATAATTGCCCATCGAAATGGGCCTCTTGACAAGTGCACATAAGGGGAAATAATTGCAGCACATCAGCTTTTGAAAGTATAAACTTGAGGCCGATTTGTGACACTTTGTTTATCCTCGATGAGGGACAGCTTTGAGATCAGACCTAGAAGTAGATCTGGGAGAGTGTAACTTGATCTCTTGTCTACTTAGGAAACAAACACTCGTAATCACTCTCGATCTTCTTCCTCTTCTTCCTCTTCTTCTTCTTCCTATTCTTCTTCCTCTTCTTCCTCTCTTCCTCTTCTTCCCCTTCCTTCTTCTTCTTCCCCTTCTTCTTCCTCTCCTTCTCCTTCCTCTTCTTCTTTACTCCACTTATTTTGAGCACAGAGATCATTTTGACAAACGAATGAGTGTGCAAATCTAATGGTAGATCTATTTTTTTGAGTTTATTGTTAGTTAATAGCAAAGCAGTGAAATCTAAAACCAGTCTTGAGGATCTAATTGTAAGCATTCAGTAACTAGAGGTATTCTTAAAGTTTAGATTAACTCGCGAGGTGATCCTTCGCCTACAAAAGTATTTCCCAATATATCCCAATAACCCTTTCATAATTAAGCCAACGAAATTTGACACAAATCCCATGCACAAAGGGGTTTGTCTCCTTCTTGAAATCCTCTTTCTTAAACCATTCTCCATTTCTTATACAGACTATGAACAGGTGCCCCTTTTCCCTTTTCTTGATTTATTCAAGCACTGAAAAGACCTTTCCCCAAATCTCGACCTTCTAGGTGACAGATTACTTCTCGCGAAAATCTCCGTAAAGCCAGGTGCCCCAATTTTTTATCCAACAAAGCCTATAATATGCTCTAAATATAGCATAAATAGTGGAAAAAGCTACCGTACGGTAGCTTAGTTTGATTGCCTTTTCGAATTTAGTTCAATGATTGAGCTTCAATGATTTTTTGATAATCCCGCAACAGTTTAAGCTTTTGTTACCAAAAGCCAGATAGCTTAGCCAGATCATGTTAGCTTAGCCAGATCATGATAGCTTAGCCGGATCATGATAGCTTAGCCAGATCATGTTAGCTTAGATCATGATAGCCATGATAGCTTTAACATTTATTAAACGAATGATTTCCTCTCAAAAATTCGCGAAAGCTCGTCAATTTTAAAGACAGTGAAATCATTTTAAAACCATATCAACAGTTGCTCAAAGTCATTCCCAAAATTTGCATTCTTTGTCCCGCCAATCAACACTCTTTCAAATGTGTGACATGTCGATGGAAACAATTTGCATATTAAAATTTTTGTTAATCTCTTTTCCGATGGGGTTTTCAATTAGCTCCCATCACGACTCTAGCAATTCGTGGCGCCAAAAGGAAACCAAATTTTCCGAAATTATGCAAATCGCTGGTGACAACTCGTGAAGGAATCTTTATGAAAGAGAGAAGAAAAGAAAAGACATAAATGGATGGAATCACTCCACTTAGACACTCATCGGGACAATTAGAAGGGAAAATGGGAATGGACTTCGAAAGGCTAATCACTTACTTGACAATTTGTGAAGTCTTTTCATTTCACGAATTGGAAAGTTTGGCCTTGAAAAGCTTTAAGAAAAGGGTTTTTTTTGTGGAAAGGTTTGCAAAATATCTGCTTGACATTGAGTTGATAAACAACAAGAAAACAAAGTACTATACAAGTATTTGAAGAACTGAAGGGATGTCTTTTTTTGAATACCGTATTTTCTCTAATAGTAGTGCACCCTGAGCGTCGCCTAAATTCCTTGAAATCTCGAGAACTGCTTATCAGAACCTATCGATGTGGGATCGGAAAATGGAGCTGACGATGAGATCTAGTGGGGGATTAGAGTGTTGAGCTTCTGCAAAAGCTTGGAAACTGTAAAATCGTCACCAACTCGGCGCTGGGGTGCACTATTAGAGAAATCCGGTATTTGTTGTTATGACGTCAATCCTCTGTCCTAGATAACGCAAGAAGTAGCACAATAGGCTACTACCGTAATATTGTTAAGCTTCTGCAAAAAACTTGGAAACTGTAAAATCGTCACCAACTCGGCTCGCTGGGGTGCACTACTATTAGAGAAAATATGGTAGTGTATTCCTCGCGATCGATACGTATTCTAAAACGCGTCCCTGAGAAAAAGTACGGTGCACAAAACATCCAAAATCCAATTTATACAAATGAAATAGAGAACAAAATAAGACAACATTTATAAAATATAAAAAAAATAAGCTTAAACTTTCCCCACAAATACCTTAATTTAACATCACAATAGCTGATTAATGGATGAGTTTTAAAAAGAAAATTAATCAATTAAGCTTTCTATTGTTCAACTTATTAATCGATTATTTAATTGATCGCACGGAACAAAATCTAGTTTTGAATTTTAGATGCAATGAAGGAATTGCAGCTCTTGCAACGAGCTCTTGCAACGAGCTCTTGCAACGAGCTCTTGCAAAAGCACAAGTAAAGATTCAGTTCAAATTGTCAATAGGAATCCATTTCTTTTTCCACACTAGTAACGAATCAATCATTTTTTTCTGATAGAAAGGACACTTGTGCCTTCATTTTCTCCATTGCGGTCACTTTGATCACTAAAAGGATTCTTTCATCGATAACGGATATTTCTGAAGAAGTGTACAAGATGATTGATCTAATTTATAGTCTAACTTGATATATAATTGATGTCCAATTATCTAATCGATAAGATAAGTACGTATATAGTCAGAGAAATGAGTATTACTGGCATAAAAAGAGTCCAGTTCTTTAGGCCATTCTATCGCTAGCTTTGCCTTTTCATTCTAGCTACTCTTTTATTCTTTTATTCTAGCTACTCTTTCTGCTAGCTCTTTCTGATCTCGATTTCTGATCTGATCTAATCTGAAAACAGTTCATAGAATTCAAATTACTAAATAATTCATTCTCATTTCAATCATCTCATTACAGGATGGAAGTGTTTGGGGAAGTGAACGATCGAGTGCAAATTGTGTGCCCATTTTCGAAAGATTCGACTCATGCTCATCAAACCATCATTTATCGAGTTTCACAAGAAGATTTCTTCGATTGTCGATTAGGGACATCGGCTAAAGAGGTTAGATATTCAAATAATAAATAGAAAGTGCTCAATGAAGAGCAGCAGCAAGCAGGATATTGTAGAGCTCCAGCTCTAGACAACTGCTTTGATTCAATTGAAAAATAAGAACATCTTTTGTCAACAAAATCCAATATAAACCAGATTTGATCTTTTCTTAGCTTTTCTTTTCTTTTCTTTTCAATTTCTCTATTCAGGTTGGTCGATGCATTTCCCCGAAAGAGCTCAATTAACAATTGATCTCTAACTATAAGATTTTAATCCTAAGAAACATTCAAAAGCAAAACAGTAATAAATCAATTTGTAAATGTTATGGAATTGATAGAAATCTACATATTTCTCCACGTTTCTAAAAACATTTTCTTAAAAGTCCCTCAACAAATCGACAAAACGTCAAAAGCAGAACTTCCCGTTATCACCTCACTTCCAAAAATCCACAACGTTTTCCCTCGAATCCATTCGCTTTAGAATATCATCCGGACAACTGCTTAGGAGCAAGCAGGATATTGTAGAGCTCCAGCTCCAGACAACTGCTTTGATTCAATTGAAAAATAAGAACATATTTTGTCAACAAAATTCAAATATAAACGAAATTTGATCTTTTCTTAGCTTTTCTTTTCTTTTCTTTTCAATTTCTCTATTCAGGTTGGTCGATGCATTTCCCCGAAAGAGCTCTCATCATTATCAATCGTTTTTCGAACGTTTTCCCCGAATCCATTCGCTTTAGAATATCATCCGGATCAAACATATTACTTCATTTGTAAGTAAATTTGAAAATTTTCAAATAATAAAGTCTTTCAGCCACATCCGACGGTTCAACGACGGGTTTGCATAATAAAGTTGGCGGTCTTTGTGAAACGGATGGGATGAAAATGATGATACATCTTGCGGAAAAAGGTTCGTCGTTAAATAAAAGGAAATTTTGGTCATATAATGAGCAAAAAAACCAGGAATTCTGACTAAAAATCTAGATTGAAATAATTCAATTTCTAAACTCCAGGTCATCCCCATCGTCATCATCATCGAAAACCGCTAATTGAAAATCGTCCATTGTCTCCAAAAACCACTGAGAAACCGGTGATCGCTGACGAAGATCGACCATACCCAAGGCCGTACATGTACAAGGTTCATACACGAATTTGATTATTAGAAACTTAAACCTGAAAAATTTAAAGCTAAAACAAAAGCAATCTCTAATGATATTTTCAGGATTCTTCCAAAGAAGAAGTATCTACACAGAAAGCAAGAGTCGAATCGTGGCCCTCTTGGCCGTCCGTTCCGCTACCATTGCTACCACTTGATGCACAGGTAGGATAAGAATATTGATAACATATTGCTTTACTCATTGAATCGTAAATTCACTTATAAAGTGGCTTGAGTTCTTGCTGAAAGGTTTGTCAAATTGAGAAGAGGCACAAAATGATAGAAATCAGAAAAGCTCTAAAGAAAGGCAGATCAGAAGAGGCAGATAGTTTTCTATGATCATCTAAAAAGTACAAAGTACAAAATAGAAAGTACAAAGTACAAAGTACATATTGTTAAACTAAACCTTTAGGAAGTCTCTTCTTCTGTGCACCGATTGTCCCTGTACGAGTTGGAGGATCTAGCGAAAGAGGTCGAGGATCGGGTCGAATTTCAAATACACGAATTTGGGGATGGTGAGTTGAAATAGTCTCGAAAATATAAATAAAACATATCTATAAGAACTAAGAGCTAATTCTGTTAATCGAAAATCCCGAAACTCGACCTCGAACTCAATACTGATCAGATTGAATCTCATTCCAGCGGAATCCCTGGCCTTCTCCTCATCACCAGCTTCTTCGATTTCTCGATCGTTCATCACATTATTGCTACTGTTTCTGCATCGACTTTTTCTATAGTTTTTTGTTTTCAAATTTCCATAATTCATGGTGTCTATTCACGGTTTCATTTCTTCTTTTTTTGCTCAAAATTTCTCTCATTTCTTTTTACACAGTAGCAATAGAGGAAAGCAATAGAGTTTTTCGCTGAAAACGGTCCTCATTTACGGGTAAAATATCTTTTTTTTTGTTTTTAACCTCTTTTTTTTTGTGATATTTATTTAATTTCAAAGTTTTAACTGCTTTTTTCTAAACATCTAAACAATTATCCATTTTTTAAAAACTAATATTTTCTTCGCCGATCCAAAAGAAACGGGTATTCCTTTTTTTTGATGAGAATTGTATATAGAGTTTAATAAAGATTCGATAAAACTGAAAAATTCATAAATTTCTCATTGAAATTTGAAAAAAGGAGGAAAGACATTGGTAACATTGGTACAGGATTCAAATATTAGGGTGGTGCAAAAGAAACTGCCGATTTGACGGTAAATTCAAAAAAAAGATGGCGTTCGATGGTGACATGATCACAATGGAATATTTTCGCAAGATCTCGAGCAGATTGGCATGGATCGGCTTGAATAACGTCCCTCAGATTGGGGATCGGCCTGAATAACGTCCCTCAGCTTGGCTTCGTTCACGACTTCTGGCCTCGAACCGTGCTCGTAATCTTCCAAAGCCTCGTCTCCCTCTCGGGATCGCTAAAACCAAGTCTGACACTGCCTGAGAGACAAACTGCCATCTCCGAAAGCAGCACAGAGAGAACGATGCGATTCGGCAGCAGAATTTCCCATTTTGAAGTTAAACAGGAATGCTGCTCGTAGCACAAACTTTTGCTCGGCCATGATCTAAATAAAAAATATAAGCTATTTTAAACAATATAAACAACAGCCAAAAAATTCAAATGTCGAAATAAATAGCAAAAAAATATGCGAACAACACATAAAAAAAAATAATGCCGTTAGCATCGCTCGTTTCTGATAAATGAGAGCTGATACCCATCGGCAGTTTCTTTTGCACCACCCTAATACAAGCCCATCAGCCAAGCCTGTCATAATTCTATTTTACAATATTTCTCTACAACTTGATAGATTCCGATAAATTCTCACAATTGAGAAGCTTAACTGAGCTTACTATTAGATAAACAATGACTGGTTTATAAATAAGAATTGAATTGAAGGGAAAAGAGAGGATTCTGGACCGAACTGGAGTAAAATTCGAGTCAAAAACTCAACTATCAAAAAACCTTTGACTAGGAAAATCTGAATAGATTGGGCTGTACTTTGCCGACAAACACTCGCTTTCTAGCACACTCGATTTCGAATCTTTCAATGGCAAATCCAGGTTAAACAAAGCCAATCGAGTGCACCAGAAGATGGGTGATTGCAAAGGCAAAAAGTGCTCTAAAAACGATGTCAACAGCAAGAAACAATTGATCTCTAACTATAAGATTTTAATCCTAAGAAACATTCAAAAGCAAAACAGTAATAAATCAATCTGTAAATGTTATGGAATTGATAGAAATTTACATATTTCTTCATGTTTCTAAAAACATTTTCTTAAAAGTCCCTCAACAAATCGACAAAACTTCAACAGCAGAACTTCCCGTTATCACCTCACTTCCAAAAATCCACAACGTTTTCCCTGAATCCATTTGCTTTAGAATATCATCCGGACAACTGCTTAGGAGCAAGCAGGATATTGTAGAGCTCCAGCTCCAGACAACTGCTTTGATTCAATTGAAAAATAAGAACATATTTTGTCAACAAAATTCAAATATAAACGAAATTTGATCTTTTCTTTTCTTTTCTTTTCAATTTCTCTATTCAGGTTGGTCGATGCATTTCCCCGAAAGAGCTCTCATCATTATCAATCGTTTTTCGAACGTTTTCCCCGAGTCCATTCGCTTTAAAATATCATCCGGATCAAACATATTACTTCATTTGTAAGTAAATCTGAAAACTTTCAAATAATAGAGTCTTTCAGCCACATCCGACGGTTCAACGACGGGTTTGCATAATAAAGTTGGTGGTCTTTGTGAAACGGATGGGATGAAGATGATGATACATCTTGCGGAAAAGGGTTCGTTGTTAAATAAAAGAAAATATTGGTCATATTATGAGCAAAAAACCAGGAATTTTGACCAAAAATCTAGATTGAAATCTTCAATTTCTAAACTCCAGGTCATCCACATCGTCATCATCATCGAATTTGTAAATTTTATGGAATTGATAGAAATTTACACATTTCTCCATGTTTCTAAAAACATTTTCTTAAAAGTCCCTCAACAAATCGACAAAACTTCAAGCGCAGAACTTCCCGTTATCACCTCACTTCCAAAAATCCACAAGGAAAAGTCTTCTTCAACGTGTTTTCAACTTAGCGATAGTGCTTGTGGTTTCTATTGGTGAAAAGGGAAAAGCGAGAGAGCAAACCACAAAATGAGAGCAAATTCTGCAGTTGAATGTGATACTCGAATTGAGGTATCACTAAGCATTTGCATGTTCGACTATAAAGCTGAGCTAAACCCGGGAAATGTCCACCGAATACAGTAATCCATTGGGAGTGATCGGCAGAAGAGAAAAGAAAAGAATGGACTACACAAGTCACTTGGAATGTCACTTGCAATCGGCTTTCTCTCTCTGACTCTTCATTCATCTTTTTATACTCAATTTTCTTCGACTAATGATGTTGAAAAATTTATTCTAAAGAAGTTTACCTCAATTTTTGCCTCGATTTGTGTAAAGAAGGAATAAGGGTTTTATGATTGAATGGGAGAGGGAGAAGACTGATAAGAGAATCAAGAGACTCAAGAGAATCAAGAAAGCCTTCAGCTTCAAAAAGAATTTTAGTAAAAAGCGATAAAAATATAAAGTTTTAGATTTGAAAAAAGAATAACAAAATTGACATTGATATTAAACTATTGGAGATCTAATGAGAGAAAATGCGATCAGAATGAACTCAAACATGGATGGTTGCAGTCGACTCTCAGTAAACTGTGCAAAAACGTGTTTAAAATTTTCCTCTTCAAAGGAATTTAATGACGTCAAACGGGAAAAAAAACGCTTTATTTAGGAGATTTTTGAAAAAGGAGACGAGACGAAAAGCTAGCTGCCAATCAAAAGAGCTCTAAAGCTCTGGAACAGAAACAGGAATGGGAAAAGAGTCGAAGAGTTGACGCTGATTGAGTATCGATTGTTGTAGGTGCTAGACATGTAATCCAGTTTAGTCTAATGAATTGACTCCACTGACAAAGTAGAATTTTAGGTCAGAATGGATTGAGTAGAGAGAACTGAATTTACAAGAGCTTTATCAGATACCAGATATCAGATATCAGATTAGTAACACTTCAACTCCAACAGTCCAAGCTATAGATCCAAGTCTTGACTCTTGTCCAAGTCTTGACTCTTGTCCAAGTCTTGTCTCTTGTTCAAGTCTTGACTCAAGTCCAAGTCTTGACTCTTGTCCAACTCTTGACTCAAGTCCAAGTCTTGACTCAAGTCCAAGGCTTTTCAGAAAGTCATTTCATTTCTTAGTGCCATAACATTAATTTACTGTACCATTGTTCACGTAAGCTTTCTCTTCGTTTTAACCACACCTAAAAAATTCGACGAACTGCTCGAATGTTCTCAAAAGGAAAAAGAACACAGAGTCACTTTCTTCTGAAAGCGTCTAGTTATTTGAATCGACGTTTTGAAACCAAAAACCCCATAAAGAGCTTTTATGCCTCGAGTTCTTTACAGTAAAAGAGTTGCTGATAAGAAAAGGGAATACGCACAAAAAAAATGGTTTTTGAGCGTTTTGAGTTAACATTTGCAATCAATAATGACAAATTTGAAAAGAAATGACTATTAAAATGGAAATTGATATTGATCTAGCCAATGCTAATTACAATATTCTAGATTTTTATTTTATAGACTTCAAATTTGAAGTCAAGTAAAACTATGAAAAAGGAAAAAGGGCTAATTTTCAGGAAGATATTTTTATTTTAAAGCTAAACTAGAGTTTTTCTTAAATAATGCATTTTTCTAAAGCTTTCGTAATCTTACAATATCTAGCTCTGTTTCTATTTCTATCAATGCTATCGAGGAATCCAGAAAGATGCCAAAAGTTAACCATGTTTTAGGAACATATTCTAAGAAGGAGCAAGAGCTAATTGTAAGTGTTCCTTTAGAACACATCCAAATTTTGATCAAATCTTTCAGTTGATGACCAGTTGATGACCAGTTGATGTCTTAGTTGATGTCTCAGTTGATGTCTCAGTTGATGTCTTAGTTGATGTCTCAGTAGACGTCTCAGTAGACGCCTCAGTTGATGTCTTAGTTGATGTCTTAGTTGATGTCTCAGTTGATGTCTTAGTTGATGTCTCAGTAGACGTCTCAGTAGACGTCTCAGTTGATGTCTTAGTTGATGTTTTAGTTGATGTCTCAGTAGACGTCTCAATTGATTGTTGTCTTGTGTTTGTCTCAGTTGATTGTTTTCTTGATTGTTGTCTTGTGCAAGAAAGCTTATCATCTCATTTTCACGTATTCTTTTAAAATTTAACCTAAATTTTTACGAAAATTTTATAAGAAATTGTGATGAATCCCCGGCAACATTTCTTTGTAGGAAAACTGTCGAGAAAAACGACACAAATTGGAGATAAGAGACTGGGGATTGAAGGGAAAAAATGAAGGGTTTTATGGCTGACAATGAATACGGTAATGAGCCAGAAAAGGAAATTGATTTGAAATTGAAAAGAAATGAGTGACAGGTTTTGACAGGTTCAACTTGAAAGAATGTACAATGGTGATGAAGTAGATTTCGTTTTTGAAAATCAACTTTCAAAAGTACAAGAACTAGAGCAAAATAAAAAAAACCCAAACAAGACAGTGTCCTTTGGTCCTTGAGTTCTATGACTGAATCATTGAGTTTGACAACAATTGGGCAAATAACAACCCGCCAATTGTTTCCCCGTCCCCAAAAAACCCTTGGGTACGAACTTTTGGCTTGATCTCTCAGCAATGTTTACAGAACAAAAGAAATTCCTTTGTTCTTTGTGCCGCTGTCTGCGGTAGGGCTTTCTCTTTGTTCCACTCCGGGTTACACTGGCCGTACTCGATGGGGCCGATGATTTTGATCTTATCGCTTCGTATTTTGATTTTGATCGTACCGCCAATCGTACCGTATCGCCCATTTTGCGCAAAACTTCGGCGTGTTGGCCATTTTGGTTTTCACCGTGTCGACCCTGCTACAGCGTAAAACCACACGGAACAAAGCCCTTGAAATGGCCAACTGAAATGGCCAACTGAAATGGCGAGGAAAGCTAGAGATCGCTAAGAGCTAGATTAGTTTAGAGAGTTAAAAATAGTTAGCATAGGGGTAAAACCCACAAGTATTCAACCAATGAATAAGCCTACTTTAGTGGCAGAAGTATGACCCAAAAAGTACCAAAATTTGTATAGAAAGAGAGTAAAATTCAGTTTTACAGGCGGTAAAACTTAACAGAATGCAAGGCAAACTTAAATGTAAAGTAAATTTTTGCCTTATGCAGGGTGAAATCAATATTGATCTAAGGGTAAAATCCATAAGCAAATCTTTAATACCTGTATTAAGGAGTAAAATCGTATGTGATGCTTTTACAATCTCCCCATCAGTCTTTTCATCTTTATTCGAACCCGTATCAACACTGTAGGATCTCTTTAAGATCAAAGCTTGAGGCAACAAACGAAATGTACAAAAAGTGAGTGATCATTGATCCTTTCGATGATCATTTCCCCATCATCCCCATCATTGCACCCATCATGGCGCCCTGAAATTCGGAAAAGTTTCCAATGAATCAAAATGATCAATAATCAAATTGCTCTCTTCTCACTTGTAAAGCGCCCATTCCGTTAAAGCCCGGTCGTCCTGAAAAAATGTTTGATTTTGATCATCTTTAGATAACGAAAAGTGATTCATCAATGACTTTAAATCCTCTTTCTTAACTACTCAAATAGTACAGTTATCTATTAGCTAAACAATCCAACAATTAAACAGCTAAACAATCCAACAACAAAACAATTAAACTAGGACCTCCTACTAGGACCAGGGGCGGGCCCCTAGTCCGCTGGTAGCGTCCGGCTTTGCCTTGGAATGCATCCCCACCATGTGACACCCATCGATTTCTCTTTCTCAGTCTTTAAACAGTATTCTTGCGTCAAAACTAATTGTAAATATCAATTCAGGATGATTGAAAAGTTCTCGTATAACTTTTTACTAAAACTTGATTTTAGTATAAAGTTGTACTGGAACTTTTGAATCATCCTGTAGAGTTGCAGAGGAGTTGTCGTCATTACATTTTTGCTCTGATTACTCGGATACTGCGGCAAAATATTGATCTTTTGGTCATAGCGATCGAAAAAGAAACTCACTAGCCATATAGGGTCTCATGTAAGGCCTTTGCCACATGGGTGGCCCATAGAAGCCACCCATTGGCCCCATTCCACCATAGGGGCCATAATAAGGACCTGAAATATACATCAACATTCGTGTTATTAACATTAAAGTTCCCAGTTGGACCGGTTCTTTTTTGGGTTGGGGTTGCAAAAACAAAACAAAAATGGTCCGCGGCAGGATTCGAACCCGGGACCTCTCGATTAGCGCGCAAGCCCTCTACCAATGAGCTACGCCGACATTTGGGATGTTGTGCCTTATGAGCCTTATACTTCTATATAACTCACCCCATTGCCCCTCAACAACGAGCAAAAGTGAGACAGCAAAGAGAACGCTCAACAGATGGGATTTCATTCTGAAATGGAAATGAAGAACTGAGAAATTGATCAATCAAACCTTTTAACCGTTTCCAAAGTACAAAAGTTGCCTCAAAAGTATTTCCTTCCATAAATTCCAGGCTTAAATACTGTGCCTCTTTGAAAGCTTTTCAACAGAACAATGCAATTACTTGTTCTCTTTTCGTGGATCTATCCATCCATTCACATTGTTTTCCCAGGCTGTTAGCTGAAAAGGTTTTCTTTTTTTTCACTTAAAATATCCCGAAATTTTTGAGAGAGATTGAAAATCCAGAGAAAGGAAAGCGTCCACCCTTTCCTTTCTCACAAGGAAAGGGTGGAACCCCATCTCTTTCCCCGGGAGAGTTTTCATCAAATGAACAATAAGAAAAAAAGAAGATAATAAAAAAGGAGAGATTAGAATATTCAAATAAACTTATTGCTTATTTAATAAATTCTTTAATTCAAATTTTTTAAATCGAAAAGAGTAATAGAAAAGATTAAAGGCACTTTTGTGTGTTCTTTTCATGTCTCTCAGAGAGAAAAACGGTATCTGGCACAGTGCTTTTTGGTAAGTCGCCGGAATTCCATCCCACCTGGTTTAATTACCCAAGTTGTATGCGGAAGGTACAATTAGAGGAAAACATAAAGAAGAAACATAAAGATATCCCAATCTTTGTGAATGTGCTAAACACAGGATGCAGGCTTCGTTAACATCGGTAATTAAACTGTCGGAAAACGATTTTCATAAGAAATCTATAGTTTTCATTTGAAAATATTGTCAGATCAATAAAAGGAAATGTGTAAAGTCTCGTTAAAGCCAAGAATTCCGATTTAAAACGTGCAAAACGAAACATTTTTTCTTTCAGTAAACAAAAAGGGATGAACTTTGGTGGAAAATGGTGAAAGAAAGCTGAAGAAATGAAAAGATAGTGAAGAAAGTTGAGACTTTGAGAATAATAAGAATAATAAGCAAATAATAAGCAAATTTGTGTACACCAATTCGGCATTTGTTTGACTTTTCCAACGTTTTCCTCTTTTTGCCGAATGATAAGGTGTACTTTGGTGTGTGAATGGAGGGGAAGGATAATCAACTCTTCTAGAACTTCTAGAACACTTCTAGAACACTTCTAGAACACTTCTAGAACACTTCTAGAACACTTCTAGAACACTTCTAGACTTATGCGAAATTTTTATTTTTAATCAACTTTCATTGGAATATTTTAACCAACTTTCATTGGATTTTAGCCTAATTTTCTGAGCACATTTTTTTTTGCAAGAATACGGTAGAGTGGCACGGGGATTGGGTGTCGCGTCAGATTCAGATTTCACCAAATACGATACACTTTCAACTCAAACTTTGAAGCTTATTTCAAAACTCATTTCTTATTGATTTTGAGCCAAAACTTCTCTTCTCTTTGAATAGAGCTTAAAGAATGAATCAAAGAATGAATCAAAGAATGAATTAAAGAATGAATTAAAGAATGAATCAAATGAATCAAATGAATCAAATGAATCAAATGAATCAAATGAGTCAAATGAGTCAAATGAATCAAATGATCAAATGAATCAAATGATTTTCTTAAAGAAAATTCAAATCTGATTCCTAAACGGGATAATCGAGCTGAATTAAGTCAAGTCTTCAGCCCAAATTTTCTAAAATCACATTTCTTTTTCGAAAACTATCAATTTTGATTGAATTAACTTCAAGAATTATCTCATTTTTATAAGATTCTATGAATTCTATTAAGACAAAAAAAAGAGAGCCTAATCGAGTGTTTAACTAACGGTTTAATACAGTAATACAGTCAGTAAAGTAAAGTAAAGGTTGTTCAGAAAATGTTTTCCTTTTCCTTTTCATTCTTTCGTTGAAAAATAACAAATTCACAGAAAAATTGACCTTTTTAATGAAAGAAAAAAGTTCAATTGATGCATTTGTTAGTTTTAAATCGAAGTACGAAAAGGAATGAAAAGACTTTTTGGACAGAAAATATTATGATAACTCGTTTAACTTGTGAATGAAAAGACTTTCTGGAAAAGCCTAATATTAGGTTGTCCAATAAGTAATGCGTGTTTTGACACGATTTTCAAAATATCACAAAATTAAAAAAAAAGAGAACTTTATTAATCGATATATTCTCCACAACAATCAACAACATTTCTCCATCGTCCGAGCAAAGAGTGAAGTCCGTCATAATAGAATGAAGCTGGTTTCGATGAGTAACATCGAAATAAGTAACACGCATTACTTATTGGACAACCTAATAGATTTTGGATGTAGATCAAAAAATTGCTTTAAATCCTATGCTTTATAATGAGTTTTTTCTTCAACAAACTTCTTGTATTGATCGATTTGAAAGCACTTGTCGATGCTCTCGATGTCGAGATCAGTCTTATTTTCAACCAATGCCGAACGGGCGACTGAAATGATCTCAAATAGATTTATCCAACATTTCGCACCTTAGGCTTAGCCTTTTCTTACTGTTTTGGTGATTCACTTAAAAAGACACTCATATGAATTGCCTTTGTTACGGTAATGCAGTGAAAAATGATGTAAATGAAAGACAAGAAATGGATGAAAGGTAAAATCTCCGTACATCGGACTAAACGCCAAAAAAACTTGACTCAGTGTGCTCACTGAACACCCAATTCCATCAATTCGCTCACTTATCAAATAACAAGGCGACTTTCGATGAGAAAACATCTACAGAGATCTACAGAGAGTTCTTTGAGTTCTTTGAGTTCTTTGAGTTCTTTGAAGAATTCTTTGAGTCCTTTTTTTGTCAAACTCATGTCAAACTCCCGAGTGTTAAAATAATTCCTTCTTTACGTCATATGTCAAATTCGACGAACAAAATGGATGAAAATCTTTTACGAATCGCGGGATATTGTCGGACTTTTTTATTTGAGAAAAAAAAGAGAGAAATTCGTCAAATCAAAACTGGTTTTTTCTCTCCCAAAATTGAGCAAATCACCTCTTTTTTCTTTTTTTCTTTTTTGATTACTCCCTAAGACATCGTTGCTTCCTTTGAAATCTCTGTATATAAATATGAATCGACCTTTTCAACCCTATCAAATCTTTTCAGCGATCATTTTATCTCTATCTTGATCTGATTTTTCTCTATCTTGATATGATTTTCTCAAAAATCAAAGATATTGTCTAGAAATTGAGAATTGGAACGTGAGAATTAGAAATAGAGAATTAGAAGTTGAGAATTAGAAGTTGAGAATTGGAAATAGAGAATTAGAAATAGAGATCTTTCCTGTTGGATCCTGTTGGATCCTGTTGGATCCTGTTGGATCCTGTTGGATCCTGTTGGATCCTGTTGGATCCTGTTGGATCCTGTTGGATCCTGTTGGATCCTAATAGAGAATTAGAAGTTGAGAATTAGAAGTTGAGAATTAGAAATTGAGAATCTTGTGAACTAATCTAACTTATCTAAGCTTATCTAAAGTGCTTTAGGATTGTGTTTTTAAAACTCTAACTAAAAAACCTTGTAAAGCGGCATAATAAAGTGGTATCAATTTTTTTGAAGCTCTGATTTTTGCATTTAAATCTAAATCACTGTTATTAAAGCTTTCTTATATATATATAGATGCAAATTATCAATCTTTTATCAATATCAATGCAAAAATCTTTTAGCTCTCATCATGCAAAAGCTTATCCTCTTGTTGCTGCTCGTTTCCTGCATTTTATACTCAACGAATGCTCAGTATGGGTGAGTTTTAAAGAAAAACTTGGCTCTAAACTTACATTTAGAATCTTTACATATCTTATTGTTTAGATATGGAGGCTATGGGGGTTATCCTTATGGAGGCTATGGGGGTTATGGTGGTGGATATGGTGGTTACAGGCCTTACGGTGGATATGGAGGCTACGGAGGGTATGGAGGAGGGTGAGTGATCTATGAACATATCTATGAAGATATCTATGAGCATATCTATGAAGATAATTGAATCTTTGATTCTCTAAGTAATACTTGAAGTCTTGTGCTAATATTGACTTTTCAGATACAATCCAATGGGAAGAATCATTGGAGGAGCATTGACAGGCGCTATGATGGGTATGATGGGCAAGAAGTAAGAGTTCGCCGAAATTCCATCAATAACAATGACAATGGCCTTTTCACCAAAAAAATGATCTCTTTTTTCATTTCTTGCATAATAAAAGCGTCTATTTCTGAAAAAGAAAATAAGAATACGGTAATGAAGAATGAAATGAAGAGTGGATTGAAGAGTGGATTGAAGAATGAAATGAAGAATGAAATGAAGAGTGAGATGAAGAATGAAATGAAGAGTGGATTGAAGAATGAAATGAAGAGTGGACTGAATTGTGTGAGTCACTGGCATAGTAGCCTAAGCCTAAGCCGGTCAAAACTTCAGCACAACTGTCAAAGCCTATGCCTCGAAACTCAAGAATACAGTAGTAGACTTAAGAAATACGGTAGACTTGCTCTATACCCTTCTTTATACACAGCTATCGCGAATTATGACGAAACCTTTTTTTTGGAAAAGTTACTGGCAAAACGCCTGACTTATTACCAAAATGTCAAGTGTTATTTAGGCGCTTGCCAGCAACTTTTCCAAAAAAGGTTTCCCTATAATTCACCTAGTACATTCTGTTCTCAAATCTCTCACGTGACTCCATCAAAACGTTAACAATTTATCCACCAATCATCCAAAGTGATCAATCAAAACATTCAAAGTACAAAAATGCGGTTGCCCCAAAAACAAACGAAGGTATGTGCGGGGAAAATGAAGATTCACGAGAAAGATCATTTTTTTTTTATTTACCAATCCCAAGCATCATATTCCCGAAATTGAAAAGTTTTCCGTTTAGCATTTTTTCTAAAAGTTCAAGGACAATGTCGATTTGTCTAAAAGCTAGGTCAACGATTTTTTTGATTTGTAACAAACAAAGCTGACAGTCAGCATTAGATTTCAAATAACAAATGTTTTCGAGTAAGTTCGAGATCAAGTAAGTTTTCAGCTTTCTAATGCCTCGGATCAATAAACAAACATGTTCTTTGGATGAGCAGACATCCAAAGAACTCTAGCTATCTTGGAGATCTTTTCAATTTAGCTATTGCTAATTTTTGGAGATTTATTTAATTTAACTATTGTTATTTTCTTAAAAACAGAATCAAGAATGGTGGTTGTCTTGTTAGAAGTCGATTCTTGCTTCCTCACAAGTTTTCCCAGTTTCCCTAGGGAGCACCATTCCTTTTCTGTCTTTATTGATCCGAGATCAGATTATTGATTAATTCAATCGAAGCTGCACTTTTCTCTGGCTCAGTCATTCTTTGGCCTTAATTTGTTTAATAGCATTTTATTATTTTATTATCAAGAATCTATTTGTGCTCAAATCCCTTAACCTTGAGGTTTTTGACGATCAATCGATCGATACATTCCATCAATTCGATCCATCAATTCGATTATATCCAAACTGAGTCCACAAAGATTGGTGGGAAGGTGGCCACAAAGATTCCGAACAGAAAGCAATGGGTTATTTTCATCAGTTTCAAGAATTGTACTTTTGAAAGAGATGTTGGAGATGAAAAGCTCTGGGAATTTCGAGGGTTTTCCCAGTGACACTTTTTTTTTCCTCGATTACTTCAATTACAAGTCAAACACGGTGGGATGTCATTAAAGTTTCATTTTCGAATTTCCTCCTAAACTTTCATATTATATTCTGATTTCAGTTCTATTTATTATAGTTGAGTTTTTCCGGTTAAATTTACAACAACGGGAACTGATGGCGCCACGGATTTTTGAGTCAGCCCACTTCTCTGAAGTTTAGGAAAAGATAAAAATGTTGAAGTCATTTTTTTTCTTAATTTTGCACCAGAATCATTTCCAAGGATTAACCCAAATCATAAGCTTGAGAAAAGTCTGAATTACTTAATTACTTTATTGAGCAAGAAAAGTATTTGGCCTTACAATTGTTCGATTACGCAATTTAAAGGGATTTCATGGTGGTTAACGAATTTGAATTGACTTTAAAGTTACACGAATTTTCAAAAAATCTTTTCTTCTTTTGTTTTCAACGATCACTATAGATTTTCACTAATTTTTTTTGATTTTCAACTAAAAAATTGATTGATTTCTTATCTATTCAATTCTGAGAAAAAATCATAAAGATTTATGGTGGAATAATTTTTAGAAATCTTTGAAAGATCCAACAGGATGCAACAGGATTCAACAGGATTCAACAGGATTCAATAGGATCCAACAGGAAAGATCCAACAGGATTCAACAGGATCCAACAGGACCCAACAGGATCCAACAGGATTCAACAAGATTCAACAAGATTCAACAGGATTCAACAGGATTCAATAGGATCCAACAGGATCCAACAGGAAAGATCCAACAAGATTCAACAGGATTCAACAGGACCCAACAGGATTCAACAGGACCCAACAGGATTCAACAGGATCCAACAGGAAAGATCCAACATTTCATAGGCGCTAACCCAATATTTTTTTGTTGTTTTCTTCTATAAATTCTATAAATTTAACTGCCATCACATTTGCGATACGCCTACAACTCATCTCCATCACTTGGAAATGTTTTTAGTGAATTGAAATTGAAAAATAATTGAAAAATGAATCTCTACCTCAATTTAGCACAAAAGAACATCATTTTATTTGAGAGTGTCTTACTAATTAAGAAAAATACGGGAAATTGAAGCTAAATTGCAGAAAAAATTGAAAATTGTCGATGAAAAAGGTTCTAAGACGAAAAAGACTCGAGAGTGTTTTAGCGAAAAAGTGTAACGCTTGTTTTGTGATGTAAACAAAGCGCTTCAAAAACAACAATAGTTCAAAACAGTGTAAAGGCTAAACTTCCAAAATCGAATGAAATTTGTTTTTTTTTTTGCTTACAAAAGATCGTAGTTAAAAGTGACGAAGATTGTAAAATAAAGAACGAAAGACTCCGCCTCTTGACTCAGGAACGCCCTTTACTCAAGGATGATGACTTCTGGACCTGTTAGTTGAACTGATTTTTATCAGACTTTTGTTTTTTTTCAGTCTCAAAAGCAACAACGGTATTCCGGATTGATGATGACTTTAATTCTAATTATTTGAACCGTTTTCGATTGGATTTTTCCTTAAAAACCACACCCTGCTTGGTCACGAGAAATTTTTATTTGGAAACGCCCAAACCTTTGCACTACTTGAGAATCCACGACTCTTGGCTGAACTGCAAAATCGGCTGATTCACTAAAAGCTCAACAAGAAAAAAGGTGATTGCAAAAGCAAAAGTCTTCTTTTTTTTCCCCACGTCACTTCAAACACTAGAATCTTTATCTGATTTATATTTATTCGACACGAATAATCAATTACAACACAACGGAGGAGATTTTTACCCCTAATTACCCCTAAATGTTGTTAAGAAAAAAATCATAATAATGGGAAAAAGAATCAATCTTTCTAGCCGCCGGGATCGAACCCCTTAACCCCCCGACTAGGAGACAAGACTCCTATCCGGTTGGCTACAACGGCTACAACTGATTAGCTGAATTCTATCAGAAATATTCTATCAGATTATCTCTAACTTTTGTTAACTTCTTTGACTGATAAAAACAAAAGTTATAAAGCTGAGCTCTCAAATTCTTTTTTTATAATAATTGTTTTCGACAAAAATACAATTTTTCGGCACTCGTTTAGGAGAAGCGAAGCTCGCTGCTTTAGGTCTTATCAGCAAATAAAAATCCCGACTGTTCATTTTGATAAGAAGAAAACTGTCCACTTTTGCCCACAACTCATTTCTCATTGCACTCTTGTATTCAAACCACAGAAAAAACTTCTCTTCTTACAAAATGCTCGCTCTAAAGCCGATGCGCGGCGGAGATGGAATTGGTGAGGGTTTTTTTGTTATAAATTATAAAATCAACTTCAAATTTGCATACAAGACACTTATGTGACATCACTTTTTAGCTTAGCTTAAACTGTGACATCAAAAGCGAATAAATCTCAAAAAATCGTACAGTTTTAGAACTTTAAAACACTACCAGTCGACTCGAAATGATCAATAAACCCTAGGAAGCTATTTTAAAGCTATTTTAAAGCTGTTTTAAAGCTATTTTGAGTCTGAAAGCTTTAAAAAAACTAAACTTTAAATCTTTTAGACAAAGTTTAAACTCAAAGCAAATCTCTGGAAAGCTTTTAAACTTATTGTCACTAGAATTCTTTGTATTTTGTCGATTTTGAAAAAATTTGAAGAGTATTCGAAGAGTATTAGAAGAAGATCGATTACTGTAATTGTCTCCGCCCTTCAGGGAATTCCTGATTCGGTAAGGTTACGGTAATCCGAGTGAAATGAATAGATATTGATCTAAGTTTTCTGCTTTGTATTTGAGATGACAAAAAAAGAAAAGCAATAAAGCGATTGTAAAAGAGTTTCTGTGAATTTGACTCGATTTGGCAGAGATCAAGGGGGTCATAAGGCTTGGAAGAGGACTGGGAAGAGGACACGTGACTTGCCCAGACAAGGAACACAAGGAATTTCAAAGAGATTAAAGTGAATGGCAATGAGTGACAGGTCTGAAGACAGTAAAGAAGTAGAAGTAGTTCGTTGCACTTTGGTTTTTAAATCGAAACACACTGTTGTCAATCATAAGTCTGGTGATACGAATGTGAAAGGAATGAGTTGCTCGTAAACAGAAAGAATTTGTTTCGAATTTGTTGAGCATAAAGCACAAAGGAGCAAGTCTAGTAGACAAACATTAGACAAAGAACTTCAATGGCCTTCGCTCTTCTTCAACCCAATAATGAAAGATCTTCTTTGTGATCGCCTTAAAAGCTACCGTACTCCAACTGTGCCTTAAATGATGAGTCTACATGCAATTAGCCCAGGCACAGCCAAGTACAGCCAAGTGAAGAGCACAGCCAAGTAGTCAATTCCTGTGAAAGCTGAACAAGTCTTGTAGAGTCATAGTTGAAGGCACAATTGGAGTACGGTATTGTATGATACCTCTTCTTCAAGATCATAAAATGATATTGATAAAAATTTGCTGATCTTCAGATGTGAAAGCTGAACCAGTCTTGTAGAGTCATAGTTTAAGGCATAATTAGCAGAAAGAAGGGTAAAATGACGCAAAATGACGGCAAGAGTTTTTTTGGTAACTGAAAAGAGTTAGCCGAATCATTTCGAGAAAAGGAAAAGTGCATTGAAATTGAAGCTTTTCTTTCAGTCTCTCAACGAACCATTCTTCCATCACCGACATCAACGAAAGGTCGAGTATTGTATTGCCGAAAATGTGAAGGGCATGGGCAACAACGAATTCTGAAAGGACACGCGCCATTGTGTCCTTACATCGATTGTACATGTAAATCGGTAGGAAGTTCGAGGATTTTTCAAACAAAAATTTCTCTTTTAGTGTGACCGTTTGATGAGAATGCGTAAAAACGCGTTTGTCCGGCGCTACAAGGAGAGTCTCGGCGAGGATACGCAGGTAGCTTTTCGATTAGCACATTTTTCGTATACTGTAGTCAGATCTTACTGTATTCTTAAACAATTTTTCAGATTAAACTCGAGTTGACACAACAGAACAACTTGACAAGGCAACGATTTCGACCAGCTGGTAAGGAGAATCAATTTTGGATGGATCAATGTTGATCACAATTGTAGTAGTTTGAGATCAAAATTTGAACATTTTAGAAAAGAAATTTCGAATAAACAAGACTCAATAAGAGTAAATTGATCTTGATCTTGATCTTGATGATCTTGGTCTTGATGATCTTGATCTTGATGATCTTGGTCTTGATGATCTTGGTCTTGATGATCTTGGTCTTGATGATCTTGATCTTGATGATCTTGATCTTGATGATCTTGGTCTTGATGATCTTGGTCTTGATGATCTTGGTCTTGATGATCTTGGTCTTGATGATCTTGATCTTGATGATCTTGATCTTGATGATCTTGGTCTTGATGATCTTGATGATCTTGATGATCTTGATCTTGATCCAATGAATAAAATATAGACCTATTTTGTTGTATAAAAGTTACAGTACTTAGCTATGAAAAGGTAAAGTCAAGGCGGAGACAGAATTCAATCTAATGATTTGATTTTTGAAAACAGCTGGAATAGTAGCACGGTATTTTAGGGGTATCTTTTAAAAAAACTGAACAACCGTACTATACCGTACTTGCTAAAGATAAAGCTTATCTTTAGCTTAGTTTTCTTTGCTTGCTTTCTTAGCTTGCTTTCTTAGCTTGCTTTCTTAGATTAGCTTTCTTAGCTTAGCTTTCTTAGGTTAGCTTTCTTAGTTTGCTTTCTTAGTTTAGATTTCTTAGGTTAGCTTTCTTAGCTTGATTTCTTAGTTTGCTTTCTTAGCTTAGCTTAGCTTGGCTTAGCTTAGCTTAGCTTATCTTTAGCTTAACCTAGCTTATCTTTAACTTAGCTTAGCTTAGCTTTCTTAGCTTATCTTTAACTTTCCTCTCCTTATCCTAAAGCTAAAACAAAACGAAAATCTATAACAAAATCTCTAAACTGGTCAAATCGATAAAACTATAAGAAATAAACTGATCAAATCGACAATTTTCAAATTTTCAGACGTAAACTCTGAAGATCTCTCGGATGAAGATGAGATCGAAGTGGATCAAATGGATGAAATCGATTCCCCACCATCAACAGCAATGAATCAACAATCTTTTCAGAGGTCTCAACTCTTCTCGAATCCACAAATGTCTGAGAGGTAGAAATTTAGCTAACTCTATTTAGATAAAAACAAACTCAAACAAGCGCTTAGTAAAAGCGCTGGCAGGACTTTTTTTTTGCCTAAATAAAGTCTAATCGCAAATTGTTTCTCAAATCACAATTTTTGGGCTTTTTACCATCAAATATTTAGTTTTGATTTGTTTGATTAAAGATTTTTTTTAGATTTTCAAAAGAGGGACTTTTTGTGACTGAACAAGGGACAGTTTGGAGGAGGTCGAGTACACCGGTGAGTACACAGAAGTACACAGAAGTACACAGAAGTACACAGAAGCTCGAGTACACAGAAGTTCATTGAAGTTCATTAGCAATCTTGGAGATTAACTTTCTTCAAGACTTGAAAGTCCATTGGCTAACTTTGAGATTGCCTTTCTTCAAGACTTGCAATGTTTCGAATTATTCAAATCCTTGACTTAGCATTGATTTAATCTATCTAAAACAATCTTTTAACCTTCTAGATCGACGCCATTCCCAGCAAAAAGCTTCGTCTCTCTCCGAGCTCCGTTTCGTCTTTCGGCCCCCTCTCAGCTCCTCTGCCCAATCAATTCTCCCAATTCTCCCAATTCTTCCATCCAATGGTAGCCAGTTTTCCCATTCGTAACCAACTCAAATTCCAGCTCAACACAGCATCAGCTTCAATCGGCTTGACTCCCCTTTCATCGCTTCCACCAATCACTCATCCAACTCCCATTCAATTCTCTTTCCCCACTCCATCCTCACCAATCGATACACCGATTTTATCAAAGTCTCAATCACATGTTGTTGAAGAAAAGATGGCAAGAAGCTCAAGGTTTGAAGAATCGTACTTTCATCAGACTAAGGTGATCTTTTAGAAAAACTAGCGCACCTACCGTAATCCAAGGAATCGTCAATTTAAAGGGTGAGTTTTAATTATCGATTCAGGCAAAGATATTGTAAATCTTTTTAACTAAATACTCATTCTAGGGTACTGTAATAGACTGTAATTTACAGTACCTTTGAGTAGCTTTACCAGGATTTCCCAGGAAAGCCAAGCCCATTCTTTTTGCTCAATTTCTCGTAAATTCTAGGTTAAAAAGCCAAGTTTTTGGGCCATATCCAACAGAGATTGAAGGCTTTGGCTTTGGCTTGGCTAGGCAAGGCTTTTGCCTTTTTTTTTGGGACAGCTCTAGCTTTTCCTCATTCAATGGAAACCTTTCAATTTCAGCCGCTCAAGATAATCCTCAATGGGAAGCTTTTCTGAAAGAGGTGGCAGCAACGGAGGAACGATTGAGAGGAGAATAAGCCAACTTTTAAGTTAACTATTAAGCCAACTTTTAAGTCAACTTTTAAGCCTTTTAAGCCAACTTTTAAGTCAACTTTTAAGTCAACTTTTAAGTCAACTTTTAAGTCAACTATTATGCCAACTATTATGCCAACTATTATGCCAACTGTTATGCCAACTATTATGCCAACTATTATGCCAACTATTATGCCAATTATTATGCCAACTATTATGCCAACTTTTAAACCCCCATTTTCTCTCAAAATTTCATAATCTCATCTTTTTTCTTTGTTCTAATCAAGTGTCATTTCATTCTAATCAAGTTTAGAAGGAAAATTTCTTTTTTGAAAGACTGAAAGACTGTCTTTTATTGTATTGTATTGTATTGTAAAAGTTAGTTCTAAATCTTTTTTTATATATATCACTTTTCTGAATTTCTAGTTTTTAGAGTTGATAAGAAATGCAAAAATTTCGAATGACATCATTTAGCGAAAACATTTATGAGCTTAAAAAAATTTTATTTTAACAAAGATAAATGTTTTTTTTGATTGATTATTGTTATTTGATAAATTGCACAAAGTGAAAATGACATTAGGACATTTGGAAATATTTGCTTGATTACTCAAAAAACAAGAGCTCAAGAGTTGATTCGATGACAGTAAAGATCTCATCGATTTGTTCTATGGCATTTCATTGATCGAGCTCTATTAGTTTCATGATATTTTCCTTGTTAAAGCTGTAGATCTGCATTGGATTCGATCAGGAAATCGGTTCACTCCGTTCAAGAGCCAAGTCCAGGCCTGGAGAGCCAGATCTGCAGTAAAACAGTAAATTGTGTTTGAAAGATCTGTAGCTATAGATCTGCATTGGATTCGATCAGGAAATCGGTTCCCCGTTCAAGAGCCAAGTCCAGGCCTGGAGAGCCAGATCTGCAGTAAAACAGTAAGAATTGTGTTTGAAAGATCTGTAGCTATAGATCTGCATTGGATTCGATCAGGAAATCGGTTCACTCCGTTCAAAAGCCAATCTGGCTCTCCAGGCTCTCCAGGCCTGAAGAGCCAGATCTGCAGTAAAACCAAGCCAAGAATTGTGTTTGAAAGATCGCTGAACTTGATGTCGTAGTTTTAATTTCATAAACCCGTTAAATTGGTTCTTTAAAGGATTGATTTAACGGGATCTTTGCAGAAAAAATTTTTCAGAAAAATAATTGGATTTTTTAATGAAAGTTTAATTGGTGTAATTGATTTTAAACGAAAGTATAAAAAGAAACGAAAAGACTTTCTGGTAAAGCCTAATACTATAGAGCTAGTAAAGCCTAATATTATAGATCTAGTAAAGCCTAATACTATAGATCTAGTAAAGCCTAATACTATAGATCTAGTAAAGCCTAATACTATAGATCTAGTAAAGCCTAATACTATAGCCTAATACCTAAGCCTAATACTTTCTGGTAAAGCCTAATACTATAGATCAATAGCAAGAATTTGCAAAAGCTTTAATCGATGTTGGTGAGAAAATCTAAAAGTTACTAAATTTGATCTCTGAATTAAGCTTCACTTTTGAAACTATAAACAAGTTGAAGGGATGAATTGCGAAAGTGAAATGGCTACAGTGATCCTGGCTACAATCCATGACCGAAAGTGGCTACAATCCATGACCGAAAGCTCAGTACCAATTAACCTTTGATTGTTCATCTCCAAGTTCAAAGCACTAGGAGAAGAAGGATTTCTTTAGATCCTTGTTAAATTCCTTGTATCATTATATTCCAATTCAAAAAACACACAACAATGACATTGAGCAATCGGAGGAGTCACACCGTATTCTACACGTTTTTTTTGCTGACTAATATTTAGAGTACTGTAGGTGAGAATTGTCTGCAAATTACTTATCAAGTCTACTGAAATGGGAATGAATTGAAATTCTTCTATTCCCTCAATCGACTTAAATTAGTCAACTTTTCTTAATAGATTTATTTCTTGAAACGTAAGCTTGACCTGATTTCTAAAACCTGAATCAAGACTGAATTTCTGAAATTTTGTACAATATGTAAATAATATAATGATATAATCTTGTATTTTATCAATAAATAAAAAAAGATTTTAGTGAAAAGGATAAAGTAAACAAAAAGCGGGTCAGGTTAGAGTTGGTGCTGTGATTTGGAAAAGGTTCAGTAATACTTTTGCCTTTGTAATACCAATTTTCAGGCCTACAACTTAATTGTACCCGTTTCCTTCAACAACATTTTCCCTCGCGTAGGTTTTCTTTCAATAATTTTCAATTTTTGCATTATTCTGGGATTCTGGGTACTCAAAGGTTACCAATCCAAAGCACATTTCTCAAAAGAATCACTTCCTTTTCTCAAAAGAATAATTTCCTTTGGTCGATTCTATACAAAGCCATGAATGATGGGGTACATTCTGAAAGCGATTCTCTCACTGGAATCACTGGAATCCAGAACTTTTGATCAAATTGGATGTATTTTCGTTTTTTTTTTCAAATAAATCGGCGATAAATTCATTTATTCAATCATTTATTCATTTATTTATTCATCAAAAATCATCAAAAAAAGGGAAAGGTTGACAAAGGCGAGATCAAGAAAAAAAACACGACTCGTATCACAGAATGGCATTTTTGGGGCCGAATTTAATCGATGGAAACCGGAAGAACTGAATGAATCACAGGGTTACGGTAGGGAATCATTAGAAGAATTCAAATAGATAAAGTTTATGACTATTTCTCATCACTGGGCGGGTACAAATCGCGTTCCGGAAGTGGTGGGTGAGGGGGGAAATCATCTTTCTCAAAGATAACAATCAAATTGTGCAGCTGAACCTCGCTTGTGGCTAGTATTTTTATGTAAAGTTTGCCCTTAACATTGTACCCATTTAAAAGAGTCGTTTTTACTACAGATTAGCTGAGCTTTGGCCTGACTTTCAGACTTCTAGAGTTCTTCTAGATTCTAGAGCTCTTCTAGATTCTAGAGCTCCTCTAGATTCTAGAGTTCTTCTAGATTCTAGAACTCTTCTAGATTCTAGAACTCTTCTAGATTCTAGAACTCCTCTAGATTCTAGAGTTCTTCTAGATTCTAGACTGACTAGAGCATCGACTGAATATCTTTCAAATCCTATAATTGAACTTAGTGATAGTAGATGAATGTTTGATTACTGTAGTAGCCAAGAAAATGAAACTTTACAATATCTTTAGTACATAGCCCAATAAGCCTAGACTTTAGGCCTTCAGAAACGTAAACCCTCTGGCTCACTAGATCGCTCACTGACAGCAAGCATTGCAGTAAAGATTTTGCCAGAAAGTATGCACTTATAGGAGCACAAAGTACAGGGATTCTTCTGAGGTTTAGTTGCACAAGCTATTCGAAACTCTAAGATTCACAAAACTAGCTAAAAGCGATCTAAAGCAAATCGAAAGTTTCAAGCACCTTTGGGGAGAAGATAAAGCTAAAGTACTAACAAAGAAAAATCGTCCAGCCAACTCGGCTACCCTCAACAACAACAAAAAAAAAACACACGCAACAATGACATTGAGCAATCGGAAGAGTCACACCGTATTCAACACGTTTTTTTTGCTGACTAATATTTAGAGTACTGTAGGTGAATGTGCTAAAGAATCGTCTGCAAATCACTTATCAAGTCTACTGTAATGGAAATGAATTGAAATTCTTCTATTCCCTCAATCGACTTAAATTAGTCAACTTTTCTCTATAGATTTATTTCTTGAAACGTGGACTCGTCGTCTCGCTTGACCATCTTGCTTTCTGAAATTTTGAAGAATATGTAAAGAAATTTGATATAATCTTGCATTTTATTGATATATAGAAAGAGATTTTAGTGAAAAGGATAAAGTAAACAAAAAGCGGGTTAGGTTAGAGTTGGTGCTGTGATTTGGAAAAGGTTCAGTAATACTTTTGCCTTTGTAATACCAATTTTCAGGCCTACAACTTAATTGTACCCGTTTCCTTTAACAAATTTCAAATAAATTATTGAAAGAAAATTTACACGAGAGAAAATGTTGTTAAAGGAAACGGGTACAATTAAGTAACAATAATTTTCAATTTTTACATTATTCTGGGATTCTGGGTACTCAAAGGTTACCAATCCAAAGCACATTTCTCAAAAGAATCATTTCCTTTGGTCGATTCTATAAAAAGGCATGAATGAAAGCCATGATAAAGTAAACAAAAAGCGGGTCAGATTAGAGTTGGTAGATATCGTAAGGATCAGTTCTATAATTCTACAGTATTCCCAAGTTGGTCAGATTAGAGTTCCAAATCACAGCGATTTGGAAAAGGTTCAGTAACACTTTTGTCTCCACAATTTGTAGATATCGTAAGGATCAGTTCTATAATTCTACAGTATTCCCAAATAAAAAATAAAGCTACTCAGCCAATAAAGCTGAATCTTTTCTTAAGCTTTATTAAAGATTCAGTCTTGACACTTGAATACTTTGACTTTCAGCCAATTCGTGTATACTGTAGTTCTAAGAGTTACCAGCTCTACTGTAGTACTGTGTACAGTAATGCAAATCTACATAGTGTATATAATCCGTAGAACTCTGTAAGCAGTATGACAGAGTCATAGTAGTACTGTAGTTGGTAAGAACTACAGTACTACTGTAGTTAGCAAGAACTACAGTAAGAGTGTATAGTAGCACTCTTGCTGTAGTTCTTACTAAAATTTCTTACTGTAGATTTAATCATAAAGTTAGTCAAAGGAGAAATCTTATATCTTTACCAAAAAAAAGCTTTTCCTTTTCAAATTGATCTTTACGACTCGATTTTTGGCCGACGGCGATTATCGTTGCGTCTCGAATTTCTTTGTTTCTTGATCTTGCTCACCACCAAATTTCGTTCAGCAATTTGATTAGAAAAGATATTCTGGTGTAATTGTAAAGCAATTCAGGAGAGATAGGCTCACAAATTTCATGTAGCAACAAAAGCCGACAAATTGAGTTATTCTTTGAGCTCACTCACAAATAAAAAAAACTCACTTTTGTTGGGGTAAATATTCGAGGGATCTATCTGGAAAAAAGAAACACTGAAAATGTGTGAAAGAAAGATTGGAAATGATTGGAAATGATTGGAAATGATTGGAAATTATTGGAAATTATTGGAAATGATTGAAAAAAGATTGAAAAAGATTGAAAAAAGATTGAAAATGATTGAAAAATTAGCTGCATGCAATTGTTGAGGTTGTACTTTGTGCTCTAAACGAATCTGGAAACGCATCCCTTCTTGTGCAATAGGGTTTGCATTAAACATTAAACTAAACAATAGATTTAACCACCCTAGAAAGGGTGACTTTTGATTTTGAGCTCAAAGTACACCTGGAAGAACAGTTTTCTATTTCTTTCTCTTCACCAACCTCAACATTTTCCAAGCTCCTTTTATGTACTCCAATCGTCCTAAACAAACGCAACATGTCATTCCAGAGGCCGTTAACATGCAGGACATCTCCTGAGTTCGATACTCGGAACAATCGACCAAATCAACGTGCTCGCAACGAGCTGAAAATTGAGTGACGTTTATGCAGCTCTAATGCTGTCTATAGCTGTTTATGGCTGTCGATTATGAGCATATTTATATGAGCATACCGTAAATACTGTAATAGTACCCCACCCCCCTCGTACAGTCGCGTAGTCGCAAATGTTTTTAGTATTTCATTTTTTGCAAAGCACCCGTACTTTCAAAAAATGCGTCTTTGGTATCAAAAAATAGCCCTGAATTTCAGCTATTTTTTGATACCTAAGCGCGCATTGTAGCATAAACCAGTGTCGAGAAAAACGCGTTCAAAGCTAGACTACACAACACTCCGCACCGTCATTATGGGGGTGGGGTACTATTACAGTGTTTACGGTATGTATATGAGCATTAGGCTCACAATCAGAAAAGCTAGTTGAGCAAAACACTGTCACATAAAGTTCATTAGTATTTCGTTGAATATTATTGTTTTCTTTTAGATCTAATAAGCCGATTTGTTATTAAACAAAAAAACAAGAACATCTAAAATATGGGTGAAAAGTGGCTTACACTTTGCACTTTCTCTTTCTCTAGACTCATGAAAAGCTAGAGTCAGTGATGAAATCTTTGCTTTTGAAATAACAAAACCCAATTTCACAGATTTCACTAACCAGATTCGACGACAGTCGATGCAACTGATCTCCTCGATCTTTTTGGTGATGATGAGAGAGATTTTTGAAGGAGTTTGGCGAATTCTCTTCTCTCGTCCTTTTCATTTCTGATTTCTCGAACTCGTGAGGCTGATCTGAACAAAATATATCATAGTTTGCAAAAATATTTAGATGAATGAGTAGTGAAAAAGCTATAGTATCTCGATTATTACAATATGCCGATATAAAAAGTTTCCAGCCAACTGATTTTTGTCCAGCTGAAGCTTGGAAATACGGAGAAACGTTTGAGCAAGTTTCGGAATGATTAGAAAATGGATTTTAAGGATTTTATGGGTTTTATAGGTTTTCAAACAAATTTAAAGCTCAATTCTATCGTTGAACTATACTTTATTAAAGTATTTTTGTCATAACAACAACAAAACTCTCAATTTGCGTCAATGATTGAAGATTTTAGTAAAAAAAAAGCTGAAAAACACCTTGAAAGCTTTGTTTGCAAGATTTCTAAGGTGTTTAACTAAGAGTTGTTTTTACGAAACGGTGATCACAGGGTCCAAATGGTGTTTTCATCATTTCAGGGCAATTCTCAGAAACATGAAAGAAAGTAAGAGACGAAGTAAATAGAAAGAAGAAATGGGGATTGACATTTGGCCTGAGGTGGGGAAACTTTTGAAAACACACGCATTAAGAGATACAAAAGGATACAGGATTTCAGCACACATCGAGCTTTTAGGTCAACAATGAAGGGAGAGGAAAAACAACAGCTGGCGGAGAAGCTGGAGAGGCTGGAGAAGCTGGAGAAGCTGGAGAAGCTAGAGAAGCTGGAGAAGCTGGAGAAACTGGAGAAGCTGGAGAAGCTGGTTGCTCTCGTCTTTAGCTATTTCTCTAAGAAAGTGTAGACATAAAAGGATCTAAAGATTTAAATATTCCATCGTAGAACGGCTAAATATTAAGTTTATCAAATCTTAGCTTAAAACAGCTACCTAATTAGTTAAAAGCTGATTTCTAATTAAAAATAATCTCTTCTGAAAGTCTTAATCATTTAAACGATTCAAAAACTATATTGAAAGACTTGCATTGACTGAAATTGAATATTACGATTTAAAATTACTGTAATGAAAGTTAAAGATGATGTTTAGAATGTCTGTCAGATTGATTTAGATTCATTTAGATTGATTTAGATTCATTTAGGTTCATTTAGATTCATTTAGATTCATTTAGGTTCATTTAGATTCATTTAGATTCATTTTAAGCTATTGTTTTAAATCTAGAAAAGATCTAGAAGTTCAATTTGCAATTTTAATTGCAAACTTTGCAAGAAATTCATTTCCCTTCTAAAAATATCGTTGGCATATGGCCCATTTGATCTCTTTAAAAAAGCGAAAGAAAAACTTTGAAAACATCTTCACGAGGAGAGGATCGAGTACCGAAGCGTACAGATTTCGGAAAGGAATTGAGTCAACAAGGCGATCCCGAAAACAACAGCTGTTTGGGTCCTCTCTGTGCTTTCTCCCCTATTCCCCAATCCCTCGCTTTTCCTTGAGATCTTTGAGATTCACGGGATTCTGTAGGATACCGCCAACCCCTTGCCAACTGTCTTTTACCGGCACTTGTTGATCATTTCGAGATCATCAACATCGCCACTATATAATGCGAGCCTGGAGGCGTTCATTCAACCAACCAAATCTCTAAAGCCAATTCACTACAACTACAAGCAGCAAAGGTGAGTCAAATATAGGAAATAGGTTAAAAAGTAATGCTAGAACTAGAAGATGATAAGTTGATCTAAATATAGTTGACCTAATACTAGACTTTAATAATAAGCTAATGATAGAAGAAGCTAGGCTAGAGGATACGCTGACTTTAGAGTCAGACTAGAAAAGCTAAAGCCTAGATAACTGAACCTAAAGCTGAAATCTTCGACAAGCTTCTAGATAACTTTATCGCTAAATTTAGATGACTACTATGGAATTGAAAGGACACACTGACAAACTCTGGGACTGGCCTCTTCAAGGTGAAGACGGAATCGTCAGGGTGGGTGAAAAAACTTTTGCATGAGACTAGAGGAAATTTGAATATCTTGAAATCTAGAAATCTTGAATCTTGAACCCTGAATCTTGAATACTTTAGCCTAAGTAACAAATCGTATTCCAACTTTATCAAAAGTTTCAGGTGATCGAGGATGACAAGCACTTCGAGGTTGGACTTGATGCCACCTACTTTGCAGCCAAGGATATCAGTGTGAGTTCTTGGAAATCGAAAATATTCAGCTGAACTTAGATTTGGATTTTATTGAAGTGATGAAATGATGAAATTTCAGGTGAAAGTGATCAACGACCTCCTGCAAGTCAACTTTGAGCACGAGATTCGCTCCGATAAATTCGGCTCGATCTCCAGGAATATCTCGAGGTGAGCTTTTTCGAGTTATAAAGTTATAAAGTATCTGGTATCTAGTAGCTAGTAATGATCTAGTAAGAATCTAGTAAGAATCTAGTATTGATCTAGTAATGATCTAGTAATGATCTAGTATTGATCTAGTAATGATCTAGTAGGAACCTAGTAAGAATCTAGTATTGATCTAGTAATGATCTAGTAACGATCTAGTAATGATCTAGTAATGATCTAGTAATGATCTAGTAATGATCTAGTAAGAATCTAGTAAGAATCTAGTATTGATCTAGTAAGAATTTGGTTTAAGAATTTGGATTTAAAATCAAAACTAAGAAATTTCAGATGCTACCACTTGCCGGAAGGAGTTGATCCAAAGACGATCAAGAGCAACCTCTCCAACAATGTTCTCTTCATCACCGGACAAAAACGTTAAACGAAAGAAAACTGCTCAATTGAACATTGCCTTGTACATTTTGCTTTCAAAACCTTTTCCGCTATAGCTTCTCTATTGCTTTTGCTTTTGCTTCAATCACTTTGCTTTCTTTAGTCAAAATGAACATATGAGAATAAATCTAACTTATCTAAACTTTGAAAAAGGGATAAACAAGCAACATAGCCAAGCAACATAGCAAATAAACATAGCAAATAAACATAGCAAATAAAAATAGCAAATAAACAAGATTCTAAAAGAATTTGGTTTAAGAATTAAAGAGAAATGAGGAAAAAAATCGGATAGAAAGGGAGAATTTCAGGAAAAGATGAGAAACAAAAAGAAATTTGGCTTTTCAACTAACAAATCAAACTGAATTAAACTCGAAACTTTTTTTGAAGTTTTGAACTGACCTCGTTGATCTTGAAAGAAGATTGTGCAATGCTCTCAATGTATCGGAATTCCCTCGAATCAACACATCACTTGTGACAAATGAGCAGAACATTGAAAAGTACGCTAACAACCACAATCGCATTCTTTTCGTTTTCGCGATGCGATCTGGAATTTTCGGATTGTTTGCTTGATTTTGTTTTTGGATTTCAAATTGAAGAACTCACAAAATTGCAGTGCAAAATAAGCACGAAACATCAAGCATTAAACAAGAACAAGAATTAACAGAAAACGATAAATTATCAAGTGGACAAGTTTTGAAAAGTATACCATATTTTCTTTAATAGTAGTGCACTCAAGCCAGCCGAGTTGGTCACTATTTACGGCTTCCAAAGTTTTCCCAGAAGCTCAACACTCAAATCCCCATTAGATCTCATCGTCAGCTACATTTTCCGATCCCACATCGATAGGTTTTGATAAGCGCTTTTCGAGATTTCGAGGAATTTAGGCGACGCTCAGGGTGCACTACCATTAGAGAAAATACAATTTACTAAAGCCAGTAAAGTTGTGTTTCTTGAAACCAACCAATTCATGAAGCAACAATTGCAGTGGTCTCGTGGGTGATGGAAAAAAAAGCCTATTGTGCTACTTCTTGCATTATCTAGGGCAGAGGACTGATGTCATAACAACAAATATCTAATCTGATAGTGCACACCGCCGAGTTGATGACGATTTTACAGTTTCTAAGCTTTCACAGAAGCTCAACACTCAAATCCCCCACAAGATCTCATCGTCAGCTACATTTTCCGATCTCACATCGATAGGTTCTGATAAGCGGTTCTCGAGATTTCGAGGAATTTAGCAATTTAAGCGACGCTCAGGATGCACTACTATTAGAGAAAATACGGTATTTAGTGATTTAAATAAATGAATTTCTGTTTGATTCTTCGGTAGGTGGTTTAAGGTTTAACTTAGAGCTCAAAGCTCTAACTTAGAGCTTAGAGCTTTGGCCTCATAACGTTCTAAGTCAAAAGCTGGTTCTAAGAACATTGATAATAGCCAAGTCAAAGCCAAGCCAAGCCAAGCCAAGCCAAGCTAAAAGCCAACAATTGATTTAGCCTTGGCTTAGCCTGGAAAATCGGTTCTAGAAACACTGAGCAACAGCAAGAAAGCACTGTTTTCTAATCAAGGATTCTTGTTTTCTTTACTTTTTATTTATAATTCTATTTCGATTCTGCATTGAGATCACATAATATTTATGATATCACAAAATATTTTGTGAAAGCATTTTCAAGAATGTTTTCAACTTTTTCTCCTCAAATAATGCTGGATCATTGAGCCGAATATAGAAATTTCAGTATTTAAACTTTAATGAGGGGAAAGAATTCAACAAAACAGCTTTCAAAAGAAGGAACGGCTAATTTGACCGTATTTTGGAGGCTTTTTTCAAAAAGAGACTTCCGAATAACAGAGGAAATGACTATTTTGACTATTTTTGCGTTTTATACAATGATTAACAACAAGATATTTGTGTGGTAGACAAATGAGGTAAAGAATGAAATTATGAGATCAAAAATTCCCCCGAAATTTCTGGGAGTTTCCGCGGAAAGTGACGCTTGAGAAAGCTTGAGAAAGGAAAAAGAAAGGAGTTTTTTTTGTTTGAGTGTAATTTGAATTCATCTATTTCAGTGTTTCAGAATGTTTCAATTGTCTAATTCATCTATTTTAATGTTTCAGAATGTGTCAATTGTCTAATTCATCTATTTTAATGTTTCAGAATGTTTTAATTGTCTAGTTCATCTATTTTAGTGTTTCAGAATGTTTTAATTGTCTAATTCATCTATTTTAATGTTTCAGAATGTTTCAATTGTCTAATTCATCTATTTTAGTGTTTCAGAATGTTTCCATTGTCTAATTCATCTATTTTAATGTTTCAGTAAGTTTCAATTGTCTAATTGAAACATTCTGAAACACTAAAATAGATGAATTCAAAGTTTCAATGAAACAAATTCGATTGTCAATTGTCAAAATGGGAAAAAGCTCTAACAGAGCGATGAAAGAGTTTAAAATAATTTGATCTGATCGTTGAATTGGCATACTTTAACATTTCCAATTTTTTTTAAAGTAAAATTTCAATAGATTTTTTTCTATTTATTGTTTTGATAAACAGATTCACATTGTTTTTACAAGTTTTTGATTCCAAAATGTTCAGGATAAGAAAATTGAGCATTGAGCTTTAATGAGAGGTTAAAATTGGGGAAAAAAACTCTTTTAAATCGTTTAAATCTTTTAAATGATCAACAGTTTTGGTGAAATTGTTCGTTTGTTCTGTATGATCAAAAAGTTTAGGCAAAAAGAACCCTAGAAGCCAGAAGTTTTAATCAAAAAAAGTCTATTCTAGCATCTTGTGAACTCAGTCTACTGTAACTACAATAAAAGTTTTCAAAAAAACAGCTTCTAGTCAGTAAATTTAAAGTTTTTATAGTCAATTTTGAAATGACAAATTTCAACAAATCAAAACTAAAGCGATTATCTATTTTAAAAGGCTTTAAAAGTCTTTACATACGTGTTTTTTCTCGGAAATGATTTGTTAGACTCTGGCTAATCTCTGAGAAAAAAAGTATTCAATTTTTACATTTCCAGAAAAGGAAATATTTATTGGGAAAAGTAGGAAGTGAGGGAAAAGCTTAAAGTTCGATTAGTAGAAAGATTAAAGAGTAGAAAGATTCAATCATAGTAGAAAGATTAAAGAGTAGAAAGATTCAATCATAGTAGAAAGATTAAAGAGTGGAAAGATTCAATCATAGTAGAAAGATTCAATCGTAGTAGAAAGATTCAAACGTAGTAGAAAGCTTAGTAGAAAAGATTCAATCGAATCATGAACAATTCGTCAAATAATGAACAATTAAATTCGTTCAATCATTTTGAAATTGAAGGTGACTAATTTCTAGCTAGAATGAACAAGTTTTCGAAGCTGAACAAACAAGGAATTGGTGAGAAAAACGATGTAGTTTCATTGTGTATTTCGATGAGACATCTGTAAGTAAATATTTGTATGAATTGCATGAATTGGTCTTTTCAAATGAATTCAACGCTAGAGGAAAACAACTAAAAATAGATTTGTTTTAACACGTAAAAATGGTAATGAACTGAACTCTTAATGGACTTTCATTTATTTCAGAAAACTACCGTATTCAAGCTATCAGTTTACAGTCGATTTGGGTTACTGTAGTGTATAGTCTACTGTAGGGATTGTAGCTAAAAGTAGCCTAACTTTTTGAGGGACTATAGCCGCTTAAGAATACTGTAGAAGGTACTGTAATCAGCTAGGATACTGTAGGTTCAGCCTACGATGCCAAAGGTCTATAGCTGGTCTAGGGTACTGTAGCTGGGTACTATAAGGAGGAGTACTGTAGCTGGGTACTATAAGGAGGAGTACTGTAGCTGGGTACTGTAAGGAGGAGTACTGTAGCTGGGTACTGTAAGGGGGAGTACTATAGCTGGGTACTGTAAGGAGAAGTACTGTAGCCGACTTCTCACTAGCCGCTTGAGGATTACTGCAACCAACTCCACCATTTCCTTATCCTTTATATACACAAATATTCTAATAAAAGTAATAAAAAAAGCTCTAAAAAGCTTTGTAATGAAAACAGATAAAATCAAAAACCAATGGCCGCAGAGGCGTTCACTCAATGGACTCAAGAATTCGGAAAAGTCGAGACAAATTAATCCAATCCTTCGCCGATTTTGTCAATGATTTTCCCTCTCTCCATTACCCCGAAAAAACAACAAAAACAGACCGAAATTGGCCGGTGAAAAAGTGTGTGACGTATCCCTCTTTCTCAGTGAACGTGATTTGATTTGTGATGGTTCTTTTAGATCGAAGAGAACACAAAGTTCTTTCATTCTTTTACCCAGAAACTTTTTCAGAGTCCTGGATTTTCTAGCTCTAAATTTTGCGCCTCTCACGGGGGTACTTTTCAAGTGAGAGACAAACGAGGAAGAGAGTGACGTAGCTGGAAAAAAAAGAACAGTAAAGGAGAGCCGTTCAGTTTAAAGGACAATTTAAAGGATCTCTCCTCTTTCACCTTTTCTCTATTTTTGTTCTTTTTTTTTTTGGTTTTGATCTTATCGTTTTTGGGTTAAAAGTGGAAGACGGTTAATTGAGAAGTGATTTCTTTGCACGTAACGGTCAGCAAAGAGGATCGGGTACAAGTGTTTGCAAGAAAAGAATTTTTGAGAGAGAAAACGCATCACACTTTTGAGATGATTTAAATTTGATAAAGTTTTAAAGCAATTTTATTTAATGAGCCAAAGAATTTCTGCACTTGTTGAACTATTGAACCCTCGGATTTTTTTCAACTTTTCTTCAACGAACTTTTCAAAAGCTGATTGGAAAAGCAGGCTTTTGTCATCTTCATTGAAAGTGGTTTGTAAGAAAAAGGAAAAGAGATGATTTAAAAAAGCCTCACAACTTCATCACAACTACAATTTTGAAAGCTGTACCAGTTTTTTTCTTTCCAGTGTGGAAAGCTGGTGATCAAGGTAGTTGAGAGTGGACTGTGAAATCAGTTACGGTAAGTAGCTAGAGAAAGACATAGGATCCTATA